CCCCGTTTTATTCTATGTTAAATACTATACAATTATGGTTTCCCAACATACATTGATACCCTACATTTATTTTTTAATAAATTCATGCTACAATTCGTTCTGTGATATTGATAGTTTTCATCAAAAAATATTTATATTCAGTTACAAAAAATCATATAAGACCACAACCCTCCTCACACCCAATTGTAACAACCCTCCTAAAAGGTAAAGTATTTTAATCATTTCTGCTTCTAGTTTCTTTGTGTAGAAACATAACAATGAACTTATTGTTTGAAAAAAGTATGGAATTTAAATAACGAAATAACTAATATATTTCTATATTTGTTATGTATTTATTATTTATTTATCTGCTTGACCCTCAGCTATATAAAATGAGCTGTGTGAAATAAGGTCTTAGTTTAGTCCTCCTTTCAATACTACTCTAATTTTGGTACGTATTGTATTATTTTCAGTTTTGTTGGTTGTAATTTAGAAATATCTACCTTCATTTCTCTTTCTTGTCCAATAAGTTTTATCCAATAAAGATGGATAAAACTAAATTTTGTCCAATAAATTTTTCTGACACACCCTCTATGTGGCATCATGCCTCTACCCATCCCTCTGTTTTTGCTACCTCCTTTCCTTCTTTCATCCCACCTCCTGTCAGCTAGCTATGTCTTTACTTTTACTTTACTAAGGTTGTACGATTTAAATTATGTGAGCTAATATATTTGCTTTTATGTTTAAGTGAGGTTGAGCTGAGTTTTCTGTCATTTATAACTGAAACCCTCCTAACTCCACTGAGAGTCTCCTACATGCTGACTCCTGGCCTGGAAAGGGGATGCTACCATCTACTTTGTGTAAACTACTCTATTTTAAAAGGATATTTTTAACCTATAAGTTCTAGTTAATTAAAATATATCGTATAAAACAAAAAATGATAAAGTTCTGCAACAGTGTTAAGACAATATCTCACTCAGAAGTCTTTTAAAATAACTTGAACTTTAAAAAATAATGTAATACATTTTCCCAGTCTAATACTTCTATTTTTTTCTACCTCTCTGAAAAAGATTTTGAGATCTTTCTTATACCTGCTGAATCAGATTCCAATTCCTCTGCAAAGAAAAACCACAGCAATAGCCTTCATATTGTCCTCACTACACATTCTGATTATGTTCAGCTCTTTATACTCAAAACATGTCATTCATTCATTTATATTTTATCTCATTTCAGAAAGCATTTTCGATAGCTTACATAAAGTGCACACATACAATTATAAGCTAATAATGCATAAATGAAAAGTAAACCAAGGCAAGGTAAAGATTATATTTATTACAAAATTATAGTGGAGCAAGCCATAATACCTTGCTAAATTGAGCTGTAAATTTAGTTCTGAGCTTTCTGATAGTTGAAATAAAAATAAGTTACAAATATTTAATTTAAAAAAATACAATTTTTTCTAATGCTTAACTCTAAAATAATTTTTCCTGAGGGACCGTGGCCCAAGATAAAAGGGGGAAGGTAGTCTAGTGTGTCCATCACCACTGTTTTCTGAAATTTTCTGTTACTCCATATGCATATAAAAGATTCTAGCCATAAATATATCACATGATGAGGAAACTGCATGGTTGGGTTCAAGAAATCAGAAAAATACAAGTTTTGTAAAAAAGAAAGTTAAAGGGATCTGATGTTGTGGTTCACAAAAGCATTTTTTCCCTCATGCATGTCAGAAATATAAAGAAAAATAGAGCTAATTATTTTTCTGTTCCCTCTATATAGAGATTATTTCATTATTCCCAATAACATCATTTTCATATGAATGAATTGGATTCAGTGAATTGGAGAGAAGTCATGTGGAAGTCTGAAGTCCAAGACACAGAAATTCAGAGGCATTTTAACTATTAGAATCCAGAAGATATAAATCCAGTTACTTGTCATATTCATTGATGAAGCAATCTTAAGATGACAGTTTCTTACACGTAAAAATACAGACAAAATAATATTGTGATTAGTCATGTTACCACAGATCATGTGAAGCAACTTATAAAAGACCATATGTCTATGTATTTTTTATTTTTTAAAAAAATTGCCTTTACAAATGCTAAAACTAACCCCAAAGTCACAGTTTCTCTAGTAAACATTTAAAAATGTGTTAAAACTGATAGCTTTCCAACAACTACAACTATTCTGTTCATTCTGGACAACTGATGAAGAAATCACTGATGAAAAACTTTGAAAACATCACTCAGTAAATGAAACATCGCCATAGTGGAGTCACAAATGTTAATCAGAAAATTGATAAAATATTAATTCCTTATAATAAATGGGTATGGGCTTGATGATTATCAAGAAATTATAACAAATGCTGGTTTTGACTTAAATATACTGAATAAGTAACATATATTGGATTCATGTTGATCCATTTTTCCACAATTTTCACTCAAAAATGAAATATGTAGAGTTAATTAGTTGAAAATAACAACTGCTGGTTCAATTAAATTCAGCAAATTTCACATTTTAGTGTTACCATATGTACATTTGTTTGAAGAAATAATTAAACTTCTGTACTAGGCATATTTTGGAACAAAGTAAACAAATTACATTATGAAACATGGAAATATGTCTAAAAATATACACTTACTTTTCTCTTTGAAAGTAAGCATAAAATCCATAAGTGAATCTTTAATAAATGCCTGTAAAATTTTAAATTCAGTACTTGATTATATGGGTACAAATTTGACCCAGCTGTTAACTTCCAGGTAAAACTGTGCACCTTAGCAGACATAGCATACAATAATTTTTTTATATATATATACATTGAAACTTACATAAGTTTTTAAACATTATGAACACAAGAATATTAAATTGGACATTATGATATGTCTTGTTTTTTGAGGAATACATTAAGAGTAATCAGTAATGAACAAAAGTTCTCAAACTTTTCCTATCCAGAATTCTTCCTTAAGTATTCTTATCTTCTCTCCTAACACCTTCTCCATTAAAAAAGAGAAAAAAAGAAAGAAACCCTGAAAGTACTGCTTTGCTCTAGAATTAGGAGACAGGCGTTTATTCAGATCCATTCTGAGGGAAAACTGATAGGATCAAAAAAATTTTCAGATTAAAAAACCGTGCAAAGGAAAGATTAACAATCTGCAAGTGGGCAAGTATCAAGATACTTACCTGTAGACAATAATAATAACACATTACGACTGCTTTACACTTGGCACATCTTGGTTGGATCTCACAGCATCGTGTAAGGCAGGCAGAATTGGGCATATTGTCCTAGTATAACAGAGTTAGTTACTAAGAGATTTGCTCAAGGTCAATCCAGAACCTGGATCTTTTGACAAAAGTTAGTCTTAGGGCTCATGTTATACCATGAAACTAATGTGGTAAGGCCTGGTGAGTTTCAATCACAAAAGCAAGGTAGTAATATAGTCCTTTTTTTCTTGTTTGATATTTCCTCCCTTCTTCCTCCCTCCCTCACCCCCCCATTTGGTTCATTGGATTATCCAGCGATCCAATGATCCAGATCATCCTTTAAAAAATAAATTTCTCAAAATAATTTATGCAGAAGACACATAACATGCGTACAAAAATTTTTAAATGCAAAGTTTATTACCAGAAGAAATAAACAGAGCATGACAACTGTTTAAAGTACAAATAAGTATAATCTTATTTTAAAATATGTGTCACCAAATACTATTTTCATCAGGATGTAGTCCACTTGCAGTAAACAGCCCAATAAAGTTTATAAACTTCATTTGAACAATAACAAATGAGTAATCCTATTTAAATCAAAGAAACAAATAACTATAGAGTGCCTATTATTTGCAAGGTACTGGCCAGGCGAGGTGGCTCATGCCTGTAATACCAGCACTTTGGGAGGCCGAGGCTCGAGGCCAGGAGTTCAAGGTACTGTGCTCAAAAGATAGATATAGAAGATAGTTTGTGTGACTTTATTATAGAAATAAAATTCACAGTAAAGATGATTTACATAAAGAATTCTTATATTTTCATTCTTGGGGTGGGGGGAAACAAGGCAGCGGCAGTGACAGTCTGCGTTTTAGAGCAGTATAGAAACTAACCTGTTTCAGATACCTGACATTCTGGAAAATCAATTCAGAATACAAATGCTCGGGACTGTGAATTCACCAACCAGAGCGCCGTCTGATAGGCACTTTAAAGCAACGTTCTAAAAGGAAAGGCCTCAAATGAAATAGTTAATAGCGCTACAAGGTGTTTGTTCAGCTTTCTTTCATACACAAACTTTGGCCAGAAAAGGCGTTTAAATCGAGGGTAGAGATTTAGATGACCTACAAAAGTAGTGTGTCCATCGTTCCCATTTTCGTCACCTCCTTATACTAATTTAAACACCGGACCTCCCTCGACAGACTTTGCGACACAGCTGAGGCCAGACTTAACTCGATCAGGGTCCCATCGCTCGGCTCCCTGCGGTTTGTTCCTAGGGGATCAGGGCGGGTGTGTTGCCGGAGGCGCGTTCTATTGGCTACACTGTCGAGGACAGGCCGGGCTTTCCGACACTTGATTGGGCGGAACTGCCCTCTTTAGGCCGAGCTCATTGGAGAGCGCTGGAGCCAGGGGGCGGAGCGGGTTCCCCAGGATTCTTGACCGAGCGCGCCTGTCCGCGGAGCCGGGCACGGAGCGCGGGACCGGACCTGCGCGGGTGGCCGTGGAGGCAGGGTCTCCTCGCCGACGGCGTCTAGGGGGCGAGTGCGGGGCCGGGGCTGGTCGCCGGCAGCTACCGGAGGCAGTCCCGGTTTTCCCCCAGCGGTGGCTGCTCTGAGACAGCATCTGTCAACGCTCCTCTTGTCCCCTCCTCCTCTGGCCCGGCCGGGCTCCGCTGGCGGCGGCCGAGAGGACGCGGGACCGGCGTGGTGAGCCCATCAGCTGTCAGGCGAGCGGCGAAGCGGCCCGAGGGCTGCGAGAGGCACACAAAGAACACGGTGGGCGGCGGCGGCGAAAAGGGGTGGCAAATTCGGTACTGCAACTCCGCTCCGGCTTGGTCCGAGGCCGTGGAGACAATGCGGCCGGCTCGGCTCCGCGCGTCTCAGAATGCGGGGCGCCTGCGCTCCCCGACCCCAACTTGACCGTCTCCCGGCTCGCCCAGCCCCCTCCCGGGGAAGGGGCGCCCCCTCGCTCCGGCGGCCGGAGAAGGAAGTCGGTCCGCGGCCGCAGAGCCCGGCAACTTGCGAGCCGGGAAAAGTTTGCGGCGCCTCAGCGGGGCGGCACGGCTTGGCCCGCCCCTCGCGTCCGCGGTCACCGCGGGTGACTTTCTCGACTCGTCGTCAGCCGGAGCCGCAGCGCGGCCGGCGGGGACTGCGAGGAGGGCCGGAGTCTGTCCGAGGGCTCCGGCACCCGGTGCTGCGGGTGAGTCTGCTTTGGGCGCGGTGGGCTCAAGAGGTTTGGGGCACCTGGGCTTGGGGAGGAGGCGTGGAGAGAGCCTTTAATACTTTTTGGAGCTGGCAGGGAGAACAAATAAAAGTGCGGTAGCTTGAAAGGCATTAACATGCTACAGACTTGTGAACCGTATCCGTGGGAACCTTATGGGGCCTGTGCTACCGAGAGCCTGTTCAAGGGGGTTGAGGGAGTGGAAAGGTTAGAAGGTCGCGGACCAGCTCTGCCCATAACTGGCTCAGCTTGACCTTGGACAAGTGACTTAACCACTTAGATCTCCTCGTGAGTGATATATGGGGCTACATCTACGTACTCTATGATGTCTTCTAGTTTTTAAATACATCTCCATTAGAGATTTTTGTTGGGCCTTAGTGTGGTGCACGAGTTATGAAGCTGTAGGCCAGGATATGTTTACACGTGCCTGGATACACCCTTCATACTACTCAGAAGTAACTTTTAAGTCTGGTGGTTTGAAACACGAATATTTAAAGGTTTTCATTAGTAAGAAATAAATTACTTATTGCTTATTTTACTAATCTTAAGACTGGTCTACTTTGCTCCACCATTTGGAGTCCTAGGGGCCAGGGTGGGGACAGAGAGCCAAACCTGAGGGTCAAGTGGCAGGTGTCCCCAACAATCCCTTCCGAACTCAGTTTAGGGAGAGAACAAGGCATTTATTATGAATAGGAGAGGGTGAAGTGGGCAGGTGTTTGTGTTTTTGTTTTCTGTATTGCTCTTTTCTACTGAAAACTTTTTTTGGGTGAGGGAATGGAGGAGGGGATTCTTATGACAAAGAAGGAAAAGAAAATGTCACAACCAAAGTAAATCTTAAATTAATGTAAATCTTCCTCACAGGAACAGTAACACATAATTCAAGTACATCTTGATCTAATTTTAATGAAGGATTGAAAATAGCTACTGTGTTCGGTATCACTGACGCCAAGACAGCTCACTTACATAATCTGCTTTGTTGGGATGTGTTAGTGGCATGTATAATTTTTATAAATAATTAATGTTAAAGGTTTAGTCTGGCAATGGTATTCAAATACTGTCACCACAGGTTGTATTGCAAAACAATGGAGTGTTAACTTTTGGTTATCATAATAACCTGCATTTTTTCCGTAAAAAGTAAGATCAAACATTTTTTGTAACCAAAATTCTCTTAAATATTGCATGCATATTTTGTCAATAGTGTATACAGGAGAAATTATTACTTATGCCATTCTGTAAATGACAGAGCCCTCCAGTTTTCTCACCATTTCATGAAAGTGCCTTCTAGATGTCAGGTGCCCCACTCAGCATTTTCTCTTCTCATGGAGCTTATAGCAACAAAAGTTGATTTTTTTAAAAAATATATAAGTGCATAAATATAGATACTAAAAAAAATTGCTGAATAAAGTACCAGAGAGAAATAATTAAAAATCCATCATGTGCATCCCAAAGAGAATTATGATCATGCTTTAGTGGAAAGAAAGAAGGTATCGAAGAAAGAACTGGCAGAAAAACAGCTTAGTTCCAGTATCTAGCCTGAAAGTTTATACTTTAAAATAGGGACGCACATTTGGAAAGAGACAAAGGCAAGTGATAGGGTTTCTAAGAGAAAGATAGCAATATTGATTTAACATAATACATTTTATGACCTAGTTTTGTTTGAAGAACAGAAACCTTTTAAAAGGTATATTTCTTAAATAAATAGTAGCTGTTTGCATTGCGATTGGATATCTAATTAAATGGCCTAATCATAACTATAATATTTCACTTGAGTGCTGTCTGATTTTTAAACTCATTTTTAAAATAGCATGAAATAAAAACCTTTCAGTTCAGTTGCATGAAGGAAAGTGTACTTTTTGAAATCAACTAAATCTGCCATGAGAAAAATTATCATTGATCTTAAACCAAATGTAAATTAAACACTAGAAATAGCATCTTGCTAAGAAGGTCTTCACTCTAGATGAGCACTGGGTATATAAGAGGTCTAATGTAGACTGCAGTGAGATATGACGTTATTCCTGAGGGCCCTGTGTGATAGCCATTTGGTGACATCAGGAAAATACTAAAGCCTCAACATTTGTAAGCCTGGCAATTTCTGGAAAGCCTGGTAGCCTTATTAAATAGTGACTACTCAACCTAAAGCCTACCATTGGTATTTGAACAAGCTGTTTTTGTAGAATATATGTTCTTCTCTGTGCAAATTTGTTAGTTGGGCAGCTCTGTAAGAGGTTAGAGCATTGTGTCCCAAGGCATGGTCCTTAGACCACCTGTGTCAGAGTCACTTGGAAAACTTCAAACTCCTGGGCACCTCCCACACTTACAGAATACAGAATTTCTATTAGCAGAATCTAGAATCTGTGTTCCAACAGGCTTCTTACAAAGTGAGAGTTAATCACACTAAATTTTAAGAATTAGAGTTTTCTTGCCAGTGTTGTAATGGCCAGTGTTGCTTTCTTCTAGGAACATTAAAAAAAAACTCCCTGCTCACTTCTCTGATCACTTCCCCTACAGCACCAGACATGTTAGTGTCATCTCTTAGTTGGGCCCTGTGGCTAGGGACCCCCTCATGAAACATCTCTGCAGGTAAATCAATATATGGTATACCTCCAACAAGCAGAGTTAAGGCTGTTTAGGTGCACAAGGCACAAGAAACCAGAGTTCACAAACCCCTCCTACTAGTGGGATACACCCACCAGCCTCACCCGCTTGTTGGTGATTTGTGGGAATGCCATTCCCAGCCTCCTCCCTCTCTTCAACTAGGAGGATAAGCAAAGGATTGGGAATGGACCCTAAGGGACTGAAGGCCTGAGAGAGAACAGAACAAGAATGCTGGGTAGAGAATTGCCCCCTCAATATCCTTTAGCTCTCACATTTGAAAACTTCAGTCTTAAAGAAGATAACTTGATAGGCAAGTATATGGTTAAACCCTGGCACTCCTAGCCTCTATTATCAAAACTTTCATCTACAAACTCATATAATTCCTCATAACCTCTGTATCCATAAAATCCCCAGCATATAAGTGAGAATTTTCATGCTTATTGGGGAAGAAAAAAGGGAAGAGTTTAGGAGAGAGGTTCAAAGCATAGGCTGAGGAGTCATCAGACCTGATAATAGTCCTAGCTTTGAAATTTACTGCCTGGGTGGCCTTGAGCTGTATCCTTGACCTAAGCTTCAGTTTTCTTATTTGGAAAATGTGAATAAAGGTACCTGCCTCTTGTTTTGGTACTTGTTTTGCTACTTGGTACTTGTTTTGGAAATTATGTGAGATTACCAATTAAAACATCATCAGCTAATAACTCACACAGTATATATTCAATATATATGGCTTTTAGTTTATTGTAGTAACTTTTTCAAATTTCTTTTTTAGCTCTGGTGAGTTGCTGTAAAAGAAGGAAGAGAGAGGAAGACAACATAGGAAGAGATAAGTAGCTGTGGACACTATGGAAGGTCTCATTAGTAAGTAGTAATTGTTGAGCAGAGAGAAAAGGGATAGGAGAAGGATGCTGACTGCAGCACCAGCTAATAACTTGGGTTTCATCACATTCTTCCTTGGCTCAGGTGCTGTCTCTGCTATCCTCCTCCTTTCTTGTACTACCTTATTTAGCACTTAATTATATACTTTCTTGACTCACTTAGAGAAACACTGACTGTGTGGTCTGCCTCAAGGTTTTTGGATTTATATGTTTTTGGATTTTAGTATCACTGATCCTCAACCTTGCAGGGGCTTAAGAATGGCAACGGTCTCTCCCCTTGGAATCTAGCTTTTGGAATCATTGAGGGGAAGAGATTTCTATCTGTGATCCTATAGGAATAGATCCAGAGTTCAACTCCAAATTTGCTTTTTTAGAGAAATACATGCCACCAAGACATGGAGACATGGTCAGAGAGTCCCCTACTCCCAGACTTTTAACACAACCTTTACTTTCTAGAGCTATTTATACTTGTCAAATACTTTCTCTCATATTAGCTCACTTGTTCCTTATAATAGCCCTGTAAAGTATTATTAATATTATTAGGTAGACTTCTATGAAATATCTCAAATCTTTTTCTCTCTTCACCTCCATTCTCTCTAGGCTAGTCTTTGTGTTCATCACATCAGTTTTCTAAAATAAAAATCCTTTAATTGCTCTCTATTTGTTCCCCCATCAAATTGAACCTCTTCTGCCTGGCTTATCAGGTAACCTTATAACCAGGGTCCCATCCTACTCTAAACACTGTCTCTGCTTAGTTCCAGGAACGTGGCAGACACCATGCATTAGCCTGTATTGCTTCCCTCATTAGCGATAACCTCCTTTCCAACCACCCAGATACTACTCATTCTTCAATTTCCAACTCCTTCTTGGAGGCTTCTTAGATCATTTACTTAAAGATCTCACCTTCCTCTGAATTCTGATGGTAGCCACAGTTACTTGATAACAGTTATAACCTGGTCTTAAACTCTTAATGGAGAAAACAATATGTGATGGATTTGATAACAGAGAAGAAAGCACTGAGTTTTAAGACTTCTACTAAGGAGCTATGTGAGCCAAGCCAGGTTGCTCTGTCTGTCTGGATCTGTTTCCTGATCTGTTGATGGAGAAGATTGGGCCATGTAATCTTGACTGTCACTTCTCATTCTGAGGTTCTAGGACAATTTGACCTTGCTTATGTGAGATGGATTGAGGCTTTTATTGAGTTCTTGGATGGAAATGTCAGTGATGGGCACTCAGCGCCTTCAGGACTTATTCTATCACAAAGATTTCTAATGCTAAATTTGGCAATTTTTAAATGCCATGTACCTTCTCTCACAAGCTCTTGAACCACAAGAATTCAGGAAAGGTTAGTGGAGCGTGAGTTAGGTATCTGGATGATACGTATTATGGACAATAAAGCATTATTCTTGGAAACGCCTTCCTATGGTATAGTAAATAGGATCAATTACTGGATAAACCTTAGTCTTAAGCATTTATAATTTACTTTGAATTTCTTCTTCATTAGTGCTATAGAATAATATAGTTATGTTTTCTTTTTAATCGTTTCATAACTTAGAAAAACATCAACATAGTCAAAACTCTAGGGTAGATGCTAGATGACTTTCTGTAAAAATTGATTGGAGGCATGATATGAATCTGCATATATATGTACATGTAGCCCATGAATATTACACTTAAACTAAGGATACTCCTGAATTATGAGGTGCTGTTATACATTGACCAGACTTAAGAATATCCCTTTAAAGTGTGTTGACATTTAATTGACCTTTGAAATTTCATTCTGTTAATCATACTCAAAGTGCTAAAGCTATGGTTGACTGCTCTGGTGTTTTTACATTCATTCGTGCTTAGCATATAAATTCTTCAGCATAATTGCTAGTTATTTAGCAAGAGTTTCCTTTCTTCTCTGAAAATGTGAGTTATGCTTGTATTTTTGTGCCTTTTTTTTTTTTTAACTTTGCTTCAGGCTGCATAGTGTTAGAGGTTTGAATTAAAATGCTTTCCTGTCATTAGTTGTATGGGGTGTGGCTTCTTAATATAGAAGTAATAGAAATTTCTTGCTTAAATGTAGCATATTTTTCTTCTTTCAGCAGTTAGAGCTCTTTAAGTTACAGTGCTAAAATTTAGACAAGCTTAACACTTCAAAACTATAAATTTTTTTAATCTAAACTTTTGGAAATTTTTCAGTTGCGTTTGTGTAGATTAAAACTATCAGTGCTTATACTTTTTATTAAACAAGGATTCAATTATCGATTTTTAAATAAAAACTCTTAATTATATTTCTTGAATTGCTATGAGTGGAATTTTATTTTATTATAAACAAAATCTCTTTTTAAGTCAAATATATTTATTTTAAAAATCTTACCAGTTTATTACTATCACCTAGAGAACATTTGCTAAAATGTTTAAAAATTTCTGGGTCTTAAATTTTTAAAATCAGTCTATAGAAACAATTTTTAATATGGTTAGCTGTCTTACAAGTTTTTAAATTGATATTTCTAATGAACAGGGAAAAGTAGCTAAACTCTTTGTTAAATTTTGATATAAAAATAAAAACATATAACTGCCAATTTCTGGTAACTTATCTCTGAAACTTCAGACATATTTTTGGGATATTTTTACCTTAAAAACAATTTTTAAATAGAGAAATTAAAGTTTAAACCAGAGTTTTCATTTTCATTGGGTAATTTTATATTTCCCAAATAGGTCCATATTCATACATTCTATTCTCTGTTTATAATAAAATTTGATGTCATTATATCATTTACTTATCCATATATTACAAGCATGGTAAATAGTCTCATTGTCATGAAGATGACCTTATTTTCTTATCATCATCTCTCCTTCAATATTGTCCTAGCTTTTTTCTTCTGTC